TGGATTCGAGATGATGACAATGGTTCGGAAGACTCAAAGGCTACATGGTGGTTGAAAAGATTCATAGGCCGAAAGAATAAGGTCGCATTTGATTGGCCCTACCCTTTTGTGGAGGGAAATTTATTTGTTATCACATTGAGTGCTGGATTGGAGGGTTATCATATCAATGTCGATGGGCGTCATGTTACCTCATTCCCGTATCGGACTGTAAGTATCCTCTTTGTTGTTGTCTTATCGATATGATGAATAGAGAGCCCGTCTTTAAATTCCTAAATACATGCAGGGATTTTTGCTTGAGGATGCTACTGGGTTATCTCTAAAGGGTGACCTTGATGTTCACTCCATATATGCTGCTTCCTTGTCCACGTCTCATCCAAGTTTTGCTCCACAAAAGCATCTTGAGAGGTTAGTAAATGGAAGGCGCCTCCACTACCCGATGGAAAAGTAGAGCTTTTTATCGGGATTCTTTCTGCTGACAATCATTTTGCAGAGAGGATGGTTGTGAGGAAGTCCTGGATGCAGCATTAGTTAATAAAGTCTTCCAAAATAGTTTCTCGATTTTTCTTTTGCATTGGTAAGGGAAGATAAAGCAGACACAAGTTATTTCCTTTGGAAAATTCCTTTGCCTAATATATTTACACCCTTTTTCTTTTTAGAATGGAAGAAATGATATGAAAATGGAACTGAAGAAGGAAGATGAATATTTTGGTGATATCGTTATAGTTCCTTACATGGATAACTACGATTTAGTTGTACTTAAGGCAGTTGCCATCTGTGAATATTTAGGTCGGTCAGTGAGTGAGTGGTCGAACGATATGATGTTGCTTATTTTTCCCTTGCTGAAACTGTGTCATATGTGTATATATAATTAATTCAATATTGTTCTTTAGCTGTTAAAAGGTCTACTTTTATATGGTATCTGATTGTTCACAGGTCCGAACAGTGGCTGCAAAATACATTATGAAGTGTGATGATGATACATTTGTCCGGGTGGACCCTATGATTAAGGAAGCAAAGAAGCTTGGAAATAAAAGCCTGTATATAGGAAATATAAATTACTACCACAAACCTCTGCGAGACGGTAAATAGCAGTAATGTATGAGGTGTGTTCAACCTGTTGAACTTAGCAAATTTTATGGAATTTGATTTGAACAACTTATTATTTAACATTTACTTTCTTATCTTCATCACTGCATCTTAATCATTTTGTGTATTTTGACACACTTCTATTAGTTCATAAAATAATAGAGCATCCCGTATCAATTCATAAAATAACGGAGCATCTCGTATCAGTTCATGATACATATGTTGTAACACCTCCAACCCGTATCCGACTCGGATCCGAGTCCGAGGTGTCACATTGACTTTTCAAAACATTTACTTGTATAAAATAGTAAGTAATTTAAAATTTTTATACATATAATTTATTCAAACATTTACAGAACCATTCAAAGCTTATACAATATATTCTTTTGAATACATGTCAACTAGAACTTCATATATTAAAATACATATTATTCACCTTTCTTCTGATCTGACCTTTGGTAAGGAAACTGACATGTCTTGCTCCACATTGCTCTTTACTCTTCTCACTTCTGTAACTTACGTGTGAAACAATCACACACTAAGTCTATGACTTAGTGAGGCATTAACGTATAAAAGTAACTCTAACTACTCAAATATGCATGTACATATCATCTCATGCTATCATACACAACAATATAATTTCCCATATAATCAACTGTACACATATACCCATTATTCATCATTTCCATCGTTAATCTTATTCTATAATCCGTATTATTATCATTTATATCCTTTGATCATACCTCCTTATACCTAATCTTTTTATCAACATATGACTCCTTCAAATCATATACAAATCATCATATCAATCATATAATACATTTCATATCACCAAGAATCACACATAGCATCCCATAATCTTTATAATCCATTTTTCATAACATGTCACTCCTACACATATCACGTACAATATATTTATATTATTGCTTTATTATCCCATGTATACTTTTGAGAACTTAAAGTATGTGAGTACATTGAGGTTGTGCATCACTACGCTGTCACCACAGCTCGTATAAATGTCCCGAATGACCTATCCAGAGGTCACAAAGACCCCAGCAACTATCCAGAGGTCATAAAGAACCTCGACAACTGTCCATAGGTCCCGAAGAACCTAGGTAAATTGTCCATATGTCTCGAAAGACATAGGTAAATCCTCAACTCTTGGCATGCTAACTATACCCCTAGCTCTCATATCACATAACATGGGCATTATCATTTATACATTTCATATCACTTGTTCTTTCTCTTCTGTCACATACCACATGTATTTGTAAAAATATATTTCATATTATAAGTAATCACCTAGATCATTTCATATAGCTTATATCATTTCTCATTTGTTTCACATATCACCTATCTCATTGCTTATATCTCTTAAGCACTTAATCATTTGTCTCATAATTTCATATAGTCACATATCACTTATCAGATGGTTTACATATTATGATCATGTAATCATATCAAACATATTCACACACATAAGAATCACTGATTATGTCTCATAGACACATCATTTCCATACCTTTATCACATAGTTCCTATAACTTTTCCTGCATATTCATGTCACATATTCACATGTACATATCATTGTTTATATGATTTCATATTCATATGTTACTTATCTTATAACACTTCCCATGTGTTCATATAACATATATATCATTTTCATCTCTTGTTCACATATGTTCCGGTTATATTATATATATCACATATGCACATAGATCATTTTCATATTCACATAGCACATACAAGAACAAATCAATTCATATAAACAAACATACACAAACTCATATTAAACACAAGTTACTATTCATAAATTCATACGCAACACTATAGGAAATAAACTTGTCGCAAGTCTTATTTCCATCATATATCATATACTATCGAATATGCACTCACCTTGGCCTCACTAAGTTCCAATCCACTTTTATGATTTCCTCTCTTTTGATCGAATCTTAACTTGATACTCGTTCCAGAACTTGTTCATGTTCGATATCTACATAATCATACATTAATACATATATGTATCCCATTGATATACTCCAATATATCATTTCTTAGACCAAAAGAAATGTCTATTTCAATTTCCCCTTGAAGTGCATCGATGCATTCTATAGTGCATTGATGCATTCTTTAACATGTGCATCGATGCACTACCCATGCATCGATACACAAATCACCTTCGATGTTTCATTTTAAGGGGATGCATCGATGCACTAATTGCATTCGATGTTTCTTCTTTAAAGAGTGCATCGATGCACAATGAATATGCATCGATACACCTTACCCAGAATTTGCATTTTAAGCCCGAAAATCATCAATTCTTATATTTTAAGCCCCTATTATGTCATTAAATTCATCTACCATTACTTAAACCAACTTATATCCATGTAAACCATCTTTATCTTCCATATCTCATCATGATTCTTAAAATTTAAGAATCTTACTAAACTTTCAACTTTGTTATTAATCATTTCTAACTTCATATATTTCTTATTCTTAGTGATGACAAGTCAAATTCCTTCTCAAATTTCACTTATTAACTCTTTTCCAGAAATTCATCTAAAAACTCATTTTCTTTAATCTCTTTTATATCTTTCATCTTGTTGTTTTAGAACAAATTAAGCTTTCCTTAAGCTTAATTATCATCTAATAATCATAACCCAACCTTAAAATCAATAATTAATCAACAAACAAAGAAACTCACCTTTGAGTCAAGCCTTCACGTATGAAGAAGTAAGAAGAGAAGAAAACTCTGGAACCTTTTTCTCTCTTCCCACGTGATTTTCCTTATCTTATAAGGAAATAAAAATTTCATTGTCAAATGACCATTTTTCCCTTCATTCATCTTATAATTACTAACAACTTTTATGATTTACTTCCAAATAAATCATTGAACTAATCCATGGTTCTATTCTAGTCACCAAATTCTAAAACTTTACAATTTGATTACTAACCCGGTATTGAGGATGTTACATATGTATTCTGTGATATATCATGAAATATATTCTTTAGTTTGGCTTTGACAAGTCTATTTGTCATTTTTGACTGATGCTACATGGAACATTATTGAGTAATGAACATTAAAATTACTAAATACTTTAGTGGCATGATAAACTAATTTTGTTTTTATTATGATCAATGTAAACTGGTTTAGATTTTAAAGATGGGTTAAATTAAGTTGTAGATAGCACAAAACATGATCTTTCCTTCCTGCGATTCACTGTTTAAAGAGTTTCTGCCTATTAAAGAACTTCCTATGTATTCATCTGAGCGGACAATAAATCACAAAAATGATATAAAATCATCAGTTCTTGACATCTGCTGTCCTTTGTTTTTTTTTCCCTCAAGGAATGGCCAGAAGAAGAATATCCTCCCTACGCTAATGGTCCAGGGTACATAGTCTCATCTGACTTTGTAATTAGGCTGGGGAATAGGGAGTAAACCAAAAGTGTTAATTTTAGCTGGTTTTGAATCCTGCTGCTATTTATAAGGTGGTACATATATAACAGGTGTGACCTACTAACACAGTATAGAATGTTGTAGTTTTATGTTAGTTTAGGATCGGAATATAAATTTATAGTTGAGATTGAAAGTTGGAAATATTTTTTTTACAGAAAAGTAGATAATTTCAGACATTAATTTGCACTTTTATGTGGATCAAATCATATAATGAAAACCAAGATTTATGCGTAAATTGGACCAAATTGTTCATCAAACGTGCTTATCTCCACTTCTAATTTAACATCAAATCTCAGTACGCATGCTGCGGCTGTCTTGGTCATGGATGAAATTGATATTGCCGGGTCTGCTTGCATCTGTCCCCGCATTTGTATTCAAACATTTTTTTTTTTTTGAATCTCTTGACTAAATTTTAAAAAATGACTTGCTGTCTTTGGACGAATCGTGTTTTCTAGTATGTTTTTTTTTAACTCCAGTTGATAATATACTGCAAATGGGTAAATTTTGGAATGGTTTTTCTCTTTATGTACACATACATATGGTAAATATAGAAAATTTACCGAGCAAAAGAAGCAAGAGAGTAAAGAACCGTAAAACTACAGTTAAGAAATCAAAACAAAGGGAGAAACATTTCTGACATGTGGTCCAGTCAAAACCCACATGTGCACGTGGGTCCCCACTCACTCCCCCACGTTACGTCAAATCCAAATCAACTCTTCCCCACGTCAGCATTACTCGCATTCGAATACGACACTCTAAGCACACGTGTTCGGCTCTTAATTCGTTTGAGTTCCCCCACAATCTCCCTTGCATCTGGTCGATCATCCTTATCAGTCGCCACACACCGGAACGCCAGTTCCGCCACCGCATCGACACCGTCCGCCGGTTTCCCGTCGATGATCAAAGCGTGGTCCACCACCTGAATCAGCAAGCCCATCTGGATCTTCGAAACGACAAGATCAGCCAACGCCATTTCCCACTTCTCCCGCCTTTGGTCCACCGCCTTCAACCCAGAAATCAACTCCAATAAAACGACGCCGAAGCTGTAAACGTCGCTTTTCTCCGTTAGCCGGAACGACCGGTGGTAATCCGGATCCAAATACCCGGGTGTTCCCTGAGGCCCGGTGCAAACAAATTCCGACTTCGATGACGAGTTTTCAGGGAAAGCCAAAAGCCTGGAAAGCCCAAAATCTCCAACTTTAATCCTCATGTCTCTCTCAACGAAAATATTTGATGTCGTGATATCTCGATGAACAATCGGCGGCAGAACCGAGAAATGCAAATACTCAACAGCCAGAGCCGTTTGCAAAGCTATTTCGAGCCTCACCGGCCAAGTCAACGAGACTTTTGAACGGCCGTGCAGGTGGTCGGCAAGGGTTCCATTTGGAACATAATCGTAAACCAAAAGTAGCCCTCTTGGGTCGCTGCAATAACCGTGAAGTTTAACGAGATTCGGGTGGTTAATCGACGAAAGGATTAAGATTTCGTTGCAGAAAAACTTGGTTGATAAAGCGTTGCCCAATGGGTTGTTTTTGTGAAGGTACTTAACTGCTAATATCCGATTGTCGTGGAGTTTACCCAAATACACCGACCCAAAGCCGCCGTCGCCGATTTTGCGTTTCGGGTCGAATTTATTGGTGGCAGATTCCAGTTCTTCGTAAGTGAAAACGGTAGGGAGAAGACTAGCGGAACGGTGACGCCGTAGGAATAAAGTTGTCGGGTCTTCTTCTACGGATTGGGATCTAAGTTTCTTGGATCGGAGAACAGTAAATGTTACTGAAAAAACTAGGAAAATGCAGATTAATGCGAAAACAGATGATAATATCGCGATTTTATGAGGGTGATCAACATGATTCCAAGTAGGGGAAATGGTGGTTTTGGCTTGGAAACAAATGAAATTTTTGTTGGGATCGGATGAATTGAATCCGCAAACACCATTCTTCGATCTACAATCTTTACAGCTCGAGAAGTAAGAGTCTTGAGCTTCGTCCCATTCAATCTGAAAACCCATTTGGAAGAAGAAACTTTCGAGGTAACCTAATATATCAGCATGGCAGCCTTGCTCGGGAAGAGGACGGGTCGACCCGCAGCCATGGAGGAGCTTGACCGGGTTTTTAATAGCCCCACATTCCCGGGCACATTGGGTACAATTGGGAAGACTTGAAGGGGAACAAGAACGGAGAACCGACAGTCTAGAGCAAGAAGCGTCGGAGATTCGAAACGGTGAACCGGAAAGATTGACAGGAAAGAAATGGAAAGAAGAGCAGTCGGAAGCGGAAGAGAATGAAGTCGGTGGAGGTAAAGGAGATACAGTGAGGGAGGATGAGTTTGGATCGAAGCTGCGTAAAGAAAAAGAGTGGTTGTTAATGGAGATGGTGGAGTGAGGAGTGGAGCAATTGATTTGGAAAGACGGATGGCCACACCCAGAAGAGGAAGAGAAAGGGAAAGGTGGCGTCGAACTGAAAGGCGGGCATGGGGATCTAGACAAGAATTCTGGGCTAGATGAACATGAATGGTGAGTGAGAGTAGCTTTTGTGAGCAGCAGCCATTGAAAAGAGAAAAAGAAAACGGTGGTTAACAGCGGCGACGACGGTGGCGGTGGTGGAGGCATGAAGGAAGATAGGAGAGTAGGGTTTTCAAGAGGTCATCAACAAGGTCAAATTTTGTTTGGGCGGGGGGGGGGGGGAATCCCGCTGCTTTCTTCGAGGGTTCTTTGAAAATCCAACTGTGATAGATTTTGGGGAAGGAAGGGGAAACAACGACGAGTCACGTGAACTCAACTAGAGTTAAGACAAAAACCATAATAAATTAAATATATATATATATATTAAAGCTGCCCTAACGTGGTACAATAGGCGGGCCTATGTGTCTTAACCTTTTAACTATCTTTACCAAAGCAATATTTGAATTATATTTCTTTAAAATTAATCTATGGATACCAAAGGAGATATCTGATAAGATAATGAATAGATAAACTATATAAATAATATTAATGACCAAATTATTACTTTAAAAATATTAATAAAAAATATTCAAATATTATTAATTATTTAAATGGTTTACCCGAAACAAATATATCATGATCGTATGAAATTTGTAATAGTGTGAGAGACCGATGTTTCACGCCGTTCACGGGACACCATCTTATTTTTTAATACGCTTGGGAGTTTCGTTTTCTTAAGATGATTAAAATAATTTAAATGAATATAAGATGCATGGAAACATTAGAGCAGCGCGCCTCCTATTTGTATTATATTATGCAATGTGTAGGTCAAATCCGTTGTATTTTCTAGGTCACCTGTGCGTGCGTCGTGCTACTGCTATCTTATTGTTGTTGTCAGATCCCACCACTCTTAATGGATTTATTATTTACTATTTTATTTTTATTAGTATTATTTAAATTAAATATTAACATCCCTCCCATTATATAATGATTTTTTAATTTTGAATTATATATTAAATATTTGAATTTATACACAGATCTCTATAGTAAATACTAAATCGGCATCGGTGGCTGGCTTCCTCTCCCTTTATGTTCTTTGGACCGAAGATAGCTTGAAGTCCAGTTGTCTTTTCAGTTTCTCTTGATGGGCCTTTGCTAAACCCGTCTGATGTGTACCAATGACGGCTTAAATATTTTAATTTTAATGATACGGAATGGACGAATAATATTAACGACACTAATGATTTGAATTAGAAATTTTAAATAGAATATAAAACATTTAATTTATAAGTTTTTAGTTAAAATTATTTATTAATTATGTTTGTTTTGGTTTTAATGATTAACCATCTAAATCCTAATATTTTAGATCAAATTATTAATTTTAGGTTTACGACTATCTTAAAATATAAAATATTTTATATAAATTCGAGTATCGACCGAACTCGATGATGAATGGAATTTACAAAAGAGGATAATTAATTTTTGTTCAACTGTTGATCATTTCAGACAACTTAGTAAAGTTGTTAAAAAATACTTGATTGAATGGGGTATGCTCCATGCTACTAATACACTCCTCGCCGAATGGTTTAAGCGGTCATGGTGATGGTAGGATAAAAATAAAAGACGGTTAGAAAGCATTTGGTTCATGAAAAAGAACATTACCAAGGAATAATCTTTTTTAAATTATTTGTTTAGAAGTATGGTTTTTTAAATTATTTAAAGGTTGAAGGTGGCCATCAACAGCATTGCCTGAGTTAGAAAGTCGTCAGAAAATAGTTGACAACAAATCTAGCATTGTCATCGTCAGTTCACCGTCACCCAGATCGCCGTCGCGAAGGAGCAGCAGCCTTCAACTTGCGACCGTTTTCATTTTTTTTTTACTTGCGTTGGCCTTCGAAAAATCAACCCGTGACCATCGGCCGTCCGTTTCCAACCTCCGGCGACCACCACGACCGTCATTCATCGTTAGTTTCCAACCCCCGTCGCGTATAAATTCCTCTGTAGGAAATTCACGACCGTCTTCCTCGCACCACTGTTACGGAGGTTAGTTTTAGATTTTGAATGGTTAAATTACCTTATAATTCCCCTTATTTGTGTGTTATTTCAAAGGTTAAATTGCATAAAAACCCTCATAATTTCCGATGAGCTCAAGGTCGCGGTGGATGTCAAGAGGGAAGAAAGTGGCTGGATTTCGAAGGAGAATCTGAGTGAAGGTATCAAATTAGTAATGGATAAAGACAGTGAAGTGGGTGAGTTTCTGAAGAAGAATCATAAGAAGTAGAGAGAAACATTAAACCCTGAATTGATGAATGAATATATTGATAAGTTCATCCAAGGCTTGCATGAAATTGTCAGTTGAAGCATCACAAGGAGAATACCCAGATATTATCATGAATATATTTTCTCAAAGCTCACTAATCTTGTGTTTTTACTTCATTATTACCTATATGTTTTCATGTAAGTTTAACTTAGATCTTTCAGTTGCAGCTTCATGTGAAAATAAAGCAATTAATTGATCAAAAAATCCATGTTCAGTTAAGGAGAGTAATTAATCCCGGCTTCTTATAATGTATGTAGATGCTCGATTTCGTCCGAGGACTGCTTCAGAGGCTTCGTATCCAGTACACGATACAAATGTGGACCAATGGAAGCCTAAATCAGCCCAAAACGGTAGTGATTAATTCCAATCCAGTTCACGTAATCCTCTAAGACGTGAACAGTTACAGGAAGTTTTAAAAAACAGAAAACGTGGATGCCATTTTAGAGGGAATTAATGAAAAACTGAAGGAGTTGGTTTTTTTATGGGAATTAACTATCACCATTACGAGGAGAAGGAGGAGACCATTTTTTTTACACAGGATATAACATAAAAAAAAATAGTGAAAAGAGCATTTCCATATTAAAAGATCAACCATTGTAACAGAGGCTGGAGGGTTGTTTTTCAGGAAAGCAATAACAAGCAAGGAGCAATTCTTTTGGAAAAAAAAACAATTCATTCTTCATAGTACATCCATTTTTTCAGCAAATACTAAAAAAAAATTTCAGAAGCATTGAAAAAAATTGGGAACCTATTTCCCTGTGAAATGGTACAAACCATAAAAGAGCAGGAAAGAAAGTTTCTTCAAAAGTCTATCCATCATTTTTACAGCGGCAGTGCATAACTTCCTTAAGGAATTTTTAGCATTCAAACCAAAGACAGAGCAACGCAATCAACACAAAGCAACAGGTATTTAATGTTTTTTTTTACATTTTGCATCCATTTGAGATAAGCAGAGGGATTATAGGTTACCTGGGTTGTGTGAGCGCAGATGGAGTCTCAGTGACTCCGTTTCATCGTCGTTCGGGTTCCGTTGTCAAAGAAGAGGGATTGATGTTAGTCTTAGTAAATAGAAATTCCTGAGTCAAAACAGTAAAGAGCGAGAGAGAGAGTTACGTCGGTTTAGGAGTGATCCGCCGTCGTGGATGGTGGTCAAGCGGTGGCTGTAGTTTTTAAGATTTCGGTCGAAAAGAGAAGGTTGAGCAGAGAAGAGAGAACGGTGCAGTGGTTGGAGGGTCGAGTGAGGCCGACCTGTGTTGTGTCACACGGTGGTTGAAGTGTTTTGTTTTAAGGCAGAAAAGGGTCTCGGCCATGAGAAAAGAAAGTGAAGAAGAAGAGATTTAGAAGAGAAGGGATTAGGGCAGACAGATTTGGCGTGTGGGTTATTTGGGCTACAGGTCCTCTTATTTAGCTTTAGTCCTTTATAATATTAATGTAAAGGCATGTGTATGCATGAATATCCATTAAAAAGCATGTTTTAACTCCATTTTAATTTTTGTTATTTATTTAGTAATGATTGAAATGTTTACATTTAATCAATCTGCAATTGAGTGTTAATGATGTCTAATTCCTATTATTTCTAAATTGCTAGAGTACGTATCTTGTTGTTGCATTTAAATGTTGTTAATATGATTGTAAACCGCATGTATATATATATACGTATATATTTATTTATAAGTGTTTTTAAATGCATTATTTTTGCATAATTTTATGTTATCCTCATGTGCATAACTCGACTTATGAATACATAATCAGACTAAGGGTAATACCCTTTTAATTTAAAATTGTCTTGAGTGGCTTGTCTTAACTGATTAGAGAGTCGTTTTGACGATTTTAAATTAAAAGTGTGTCCCGAAAGTGAAAAAAAAAAAATTGATTCATCACCTAAAATTTGGGAACGAGAGAAAAAGAAATGTTCGTTTATTTAAATATATCGAGAAAAGGTTGTTATATCTTTAAGATCTGATCTCGATATTTGTAAATAATCGAACATTCTTTATCTTTCTAAAATGACTTGGTAATTTTAATTTAATTTGTTTAAGTGTTTTTGAATGTTTTAAATTTACTTTTTTTTTATGGGATCAAAAATCAAAATAAATTCGAATTTGTAAAGTTCATTGCAAAGACGTTAATTAATCGACTAGGTACCGATTTATGGCGTTGTGGGGGTGCTAATCCTTCCCCACACGTAACCGACTCCCGAACTCGGATTTTGGCAACGCAGACTTCAATTTGTTGTTTTAATTAAAATTAGTTTTTATTTAAAATGACAAAGCATTTTTGGGTGCCCAATCACACCCTAGTCAAATATTGGTGGCGACTCTTCGAACTGTATTTTTCGATCGTCAAGGAAATTTAAATTTTTTCGAAACGAGAAGTCTTTTAAATCACATATATTTTTAAAATAAAAAAAGACAATTAAGAATTAATGTGGTTTTCAAAATCTCACCTTTTTTCACCTCTAAGGAAAAATCGTTTCGACAATGTAAAAACAAAGCAATGCAATAGCTTAAATATTTGAGTTGTTGAAATGAAAGAGCATGAACTTATTTCAGGGTTTATGTTGCAGAGAGTACAAGCATTTCTGATTTACTTTGAAATGTCGAGCAGGAGCATGTCGAGATTTCGTTTTCCTTGAGGGCCGTTTGAGTACCATGATGACAAGTAGTCTCCGTAAACAACTGGAGAATACCGAGGTGGGGAATCTTGACTCACGAGATCAGAGGCAAGGGATATTCGGACAGTCTTGGCTGGATCATGAAATGTGGACATCGAGGGACGGGCTCTGTTTGCATTTGTTACGGCTCGGTGCATACAGGTTTTGTATTTACCATTGGTTATAATCTGCAGGTAATGCAAGTTCCCAATAACACAAATAAGGGGAATTATAAGGTAATTTAACCTTTGGAAATAACACACAAATAAG